AATCGACGTGGAGACAGAGCGGAGCACCCGGTGCAGGAAACCTCACGCGCCCGAGGAAGAAGGCGGCGGTGGTGGTGGTGGTGGTGCGGGTTTAACACTCAGACAGTCCCCGTTCCAGATGGACACCTGTGAAACTACTGGACGTCTCGTAACAACAACAAAATAGCTTTATAGCTCGTTGGATTCCTCCAGTGAACCCGCTTGCTGTACTGCCCGCGAGCCGGACGGACGCCTCCGTGCATGCGTCAGAGCAGCCAGGAAACAACAACAAACAACAACACAAAACCATTCACGAAGACCGCGGGCGCTCGTTGGCCAATTATAATTCCCACGTGTGTGGCCACTGTGGGCATCGCGCGCCGCTTTCTTTATCCAGGTAAACCCTGCTGAACCGCGAGACTCATTTCCAACAGGGTCCTGCCGAGTGTTTGCTGGACGAGGGATGGGGGGGGGGCGATGTTTGCTGCTCTGTGTGCGATTGTCCCATCTGAGTAATGTTGCAGCGTCATATTTCGGCAGTGGCAATGTGGGGTTTGTGGCCCCATACCAGCTCCATTGTCTCTCTCTCTCTCTGTGCGTGTGCCTGTGTGTCTGTGCGTGTGTCTCTGTGTGTGTCTCTGTGTGTGTCTGTCTATGTGTGTGCCTGTGTCTCTGTGTGTCTCTGTGTGTGTCTCTGTGTGTCTGTGCGTGTGTGTCTGTCTGTGTGCCTGTGTCTCTGTGTGTGTCTCTGTGTGTGTGCCTCTGTGTGTGTCTGTGCGTATGTGTCTGTCTGTGTGTGTGCCTGTGTCTGTGTGGGGAGCGATAGCGTGCTCCTCTATGAACCTGGCGACCCGGGTTCGATTCCCGCTCACCGCCAATACCAGTGCCTATTGTCTGAACCGGTGCTGCGCCTCCCCTAGGTCGACTCAGCCTCAAATGAATACCTGGTGCGGTGTGTAAACATCGTCACTAGGGAGACAAAGGCGGTCGGGCGTGGTGCTGGCCACCCACCCCCTCGTGTGCCGTGCCGGCCTTCATAGGTGCTCGCTAACAGCACTTGCCCCAACAGTCTGTTAAGGCTACACGGGGGGATCTTTGTCTTTGTTTGTTTGTTTAGCTATGGGAGGAGGAAACCACTCACACTCTCACGCAAAGATAACCCCCCCCCCCATATAGCCTTGTAGCACACGAGAGGGGGGGGGGCGACACCACGCCCAGCCGCCTGTGACCCCCCCCCCTCCCCGGTGGTGACGTTACGGCACACCGCGCCAGATACTCGTTTTGAGGCCGAGTCGACCTAGGGGATGGAGGCCCAGGTGCCGGTTTGGACGATCGTCACCGGCGTTGGTTGAGGCCGTCTGTCACCCGCTCGCCCTCGCTCTGGCAGACAAGGGGGTCGCGACAGGGCAAGGGAGTCGAACCCAGGCCTCCCACGAGAGCCAGCGACTCTCATCTCTCCAGAGCTGTTGTCACCTGCTCGCACGCACGTGGAACTCAAGATGCGGCCATCGGCTGTTACTCACGACGCCACCGAAGGATAAATATTGTTTTGATTTATTTTGCCGGTTATTGTTTGGATATTTGTTTACCACCCGCCACCCCCCCGTCACTCACCCTCCCCCATCGATAGCAAGCAAGATGTGAAAAGATCTGCGACCCAGCATCGACTTGAACCCATCACAGTGTCGAGCGCCAAACGATAACGCGACACACAAGCCGCACACAGCAAAAAAACCAAATACACAAACGGCGGGCCGAGTTGTATGGGGGCTCCTCTACTGATGGACACTCGGCTTACGAACTTTCAGAGAAACGAACAAACCTGTCCCGATGTCATGAAGATGCCATGTGAAGCACCAGTGGTGGCACCTACATCTGCAGAACGTGAAGAACTAGTGGCATCTACATGTGCAGAACGTGAAGAACCAGTGGCATCTACATTTACAGAACATTAAGAACCAGTGGCATCTACATGTGCAAAACGTGAAGAACCAGTGGCATCTACATCTGCAGAACGTGAAGAACCCGTGGCATCTACATCTGTAGAACGTGAAGAACCAGTGGCATCTACATCTGCAGAACGTGAATAACCAGTGGAATCTACATCTGTAGAACGTGAAGAACCAGTGGCATCTACATCTACAGAACGTGAAGAACCAGTGGCATCTACATCTGCAGAACGTGAAGAACCAGTGGCATCTACATCTACAGAATGTGAAGAACCAGTGGCATCTACATCTGCAGAACGTGAATAACCAGTGGAATCTACATCTGTAGAACGTGAAGAACCAGTGGCATCTACATCTGCAGAACGTGAAGAACCAGTGGCATCTACATCTGCAGAACGTGAAGAACCAGTGGCATCTACATCTGTAGAACGTGAATAACCAGTGGAATCTACATCTGTAGAACGTGAAGAACCAGTGGCATCTACATCTGCAGAACGTGAAGAACTAGTGGCATCTACATCTGCAGAACGTGAAGAACCAGTGGCATCTACATCTACAGAATGTGAAGAACCAGTGGCATCTACATCTGCAGAACGTGAAGAACCAGTGGCATCTACATCTGCAGAACGTGAATAACCAGTGGAATCTACATCTGTAGAACGTGAAGAACCAGTGGCATCTACATCTGCAGAACGTGAAGAACCAGTGGCATCTACATCTGCAGAACGTGAAGAACCAGTGGCATCTACATCTGCAGAACGTGAATAACCAGTGGAATCTACATCTGTAGAACGTGAAGAACCAGTGGCATCTACATCTGCAGAACGTGAAGAACCAGTGGCATCTACATCTGCAGAACGTGAGGAACCAGTGGCATCTATATCTACAGGAGATGCTACAACTTGTAAAGCCATTCCCCGTGTTTAGTGTACACGCCGTACAATGCGTTTGGAATGGACGGGAGTAAATTTGGACGAACAAATCGACTTACCAACTGACCTCTGGAACCTAACTCGTTCGTAAGTAGAGGAGCCCCTGTACAACATGGCAAAGGCCCGTACGAAACAGGGCGCGTGTTGTAACAATATACAGTGACCCGAGTCTTAGCAACCGGTACAGCAACATCGGGTGATCATAATAACAACAAAACCTATAATAAACTACAAGTGCAAACTCATATAAAATGGAACACATGGGAGATTCATTCTGACCTTTACTGTGCAATAGCCACATTCTCCTGGCTCGGTCGTTCAAGCGCCGTGTGGCGGTGGAAGGTGACAGATTGGCGTTCTTCGCCGACTCAATGTTGGAGATGATCTCCTGATGGCAACCACCACCAGCACCACCAACTTCGCCTTGTTGTTTGTTACTGTTTGTTATTCCGTGCCAGAAATGTAATAAAACCACAGTGGTCAACGAATGGCCCTGCCAATCCCCTCTACCCCACCCCCCCACACACACACAGCAACCACAGCAACAAGGCGATTCACAAATAATTTACAATCGGTGTATATTAAAAATTTGTGTCATTTAAAAAAAAAGTTAAAATAATACGTATTCTTTTCGGCAAGAGACTAAAATAAATAACGTGAACATTATGACTGCCATGAGTGTCCAAGAGCACCTCACCCCCCCCCCCCCCAGCCCAATTACCAACACCCACCACTCGCCACTCAGTGACGGTGACGTCACCACGGCGCCTGTGCCAAGCTAGGTGCACTACGAGGCCACGTGAAGCTGTCGAAGGCTCCGCTGGCAGGAGGAGGTCACGGGACAGACCCCCAGCAGGTGGTGCCATGGGTTGGCCGACTGAGACGACCGGCAGATGCACCCCCAACCGCACCCCAACCCCCACGCCAACCCCAGCACCACCCCGCTGCGTAGGGCGGGTGCAGGCGCAGCCCCTCGCAAGCGCTCGCAGCCCCTCGCAGCCCCTCGCAAGCGCTCGCAGCCGCTGGTGGAAAAAGCTGGCGACCGCCGCCACGGCCGGGGAGCGAACTCGAGAGCGATGGAGGGAGGGGAAGGGGGTAGGGAGTCACTTTGGCTCTGCTCTTCCACGCTGAGCCCGGACGACGTGGAAGAAGTGGGAGCACCCCCCGTCCCCACCCACCTGCTGCCCCAGCCCCCCCCTACAGGCAGACCGATGCGCCTGACTTGTAGGCCACGTGCCTTGTGCTGCACAGGGACAGCTGCCACGGGGGGGGGGGGGGGGTTGTCCCGTGAAAGCGATAAGACGCCTGCGACGTCGAACCTACCGGGCGGAGTGAGCGGCCGAGCTGCTTCGAGCGAGCGCAAATGGTAAATGTCGGACGCCTCTCGCCGGACAAAGATGATGAAGAATTGTCGGTAACCGCGCGTCGGCGCGTCGGGCAATGTCACGTCAATTGTACGGGCGGGAGGAAAAACTTTTTCGGGGGGGGGGGGGGGGAAATATTTCGCTTCCAATGTTTTCTCTGAAAACGTCTGCGGTGCGTTTCGTGAGCCGTGTGGTGAGTTTAGTGACGGTGGTGGTGAGCCGCGTGGTGAGTTTAGTGCCGGTGGTGGTGAGCCGCGTGGTGAGTTTAGTGCCGGTGGTGGTGAGCCGCGTGGTGAGTTTAGTGCCGCTGGTGGTGAGCCGCGTGGTGAGTTTAGTGCCGCTGGTGGTGAGCCGCGTGGTGAGTTTAGTGATGGTGGTGGTGAGCCGCGTGGTGAGTTTAGTGCCGCTGGTGGTGAGCCGCGTGGTGAGTTTAGTGCCGCTGGTGGTGAGCCGCGTGGTGAGTTTAGTGCCGGTGGTGGTGAGACGCGTGGTGAGTTTAGTGCCGCTGGTGGTGAGCCGCGTGGTGAGTTTAGTGCCGCTGGTGGTGAGCCGCGTGGTGAGTTTAGTGCCGCTGGTGGTGAGCCGCGTGGTGAGTTTAGTGATGGTGGTGGTGAGCCGCGTGGTGAGTTTAGTGCCGCTGGTGGTGAGCCGCGTGGTGAGTTTAGTGCCGCTGGTGGTGAGCCGCGTGGTGAGTTTAGTGCCGCTGGTGGTGAGCCGCGTGGTGAGTTTAGTGCCGGTGGTGGTGAGCCGCGTGGTGAGTTTAGTGCCGCTGGTGGTGAGCCGCGTGGTGAGTTTAGTGCCGCTGGTGGTGAGCCGCGTGGTGAGTTTAGTGATGGTGGTGGTGAGCCGCGTGGTGAGTTTAGTGCCGCTGGTGGTGAGCCGCGTGGTGAGTTTAGTGCCGCTGGTGGTGAGCCGCGTGGTGAGTTTTGTGCCGCTGGTGGTGAGCCGCGTGGTGAGTTTAGTGCCGATTTGGAGGGTCCAAAGTGAGGGGTGAGGAGACTGTTGGGCTAAAGATTGAGGAGGTGAGGGCGTGAGGAGGTGAGGGGGTAACAGGTGAGGGGGTGAGGGATGAGAGGGGGTGACAGGTGAGGAGGTGAGCGGTGTAGGGGGCTGTGGGGGCTGAGTTGGTGAGGAACCAAGAGGTGAGAGGTGCGGGGAGGTGAGGGCAGCTGAGGGGGTGAGGAGGAGAGGGTGGTGAGGCGGGGTGAGGGTGGTGAGGGTGGTGAGGGGGGTGAGGGGGGTGAGGTGTCACACGGGCTCCTTGGCCTGGCTCCCCGTGGTGGTGGTCTTGAGGGAGCTGAGTGTGCGGTTGAGCCACGTGCGCCGTGAGGCCTGCACCTCGTTCAGGGCGCCATTCAGCTCGTGCTCCAGGTCCTGTGCCACAACAATAACAACAACAACAACAACCACGATCAGAACAACAACAACAACAACCATGGTAACCACAACGATCACAACCGCCACAACACCCATTGGCCCGCCATCTCGCCCCTCCCATTGGGATCCACCCATCGCAGGATCACAATGACGACGGTGGTCATGGTGACGGCGGCGGTGGTCATGGTGACGGCGACGGTGGTCAGGATGACGGTGGCGGTGGTCATGGTGACGGCGGCGGTGGTCATGGTGACGGCGGCGGTGGTCAGGATGACGGTGGCGGTGGTCATGGTGACGGCGACGGTGGTCATGGTGACGGCGGCGGTGGTCATGGTGATGGCGGCGGTGGTCATGGTGACGGCGACGGTGGTCATGGTGACGGCGACGGTGGTCATGGTGACGGCGACGGTGGTCATGGTGACGGCGGCGGTGGTCATGGTGATGGCGGCGGTGGTCATGGTGACGGCGGCGGTGGTCATGGTGACGGTGGCGGTGGTCATGGTGATGGCGGCGGTGGTCATGGTGACGGCGACGGTGGTCAGGATGACGGTGGCGGTGGTCATGGTGACGGTGGCGGTGGTCATGGTGACGGCGACGGTGGTCATGGTGACGGCGACGGTGGTCAGGATGGCGATGGCAGCGGTGACAATGACGATGGCGGCGTCCACCCTCGCCTGAATTCGGCACTCGGCCTCCACCAGCTTCAGCTTGGTCTGCGCCAACTCCAGCTCCATCTCCCGGAGGTGGCTCTGGATTCCCTCCGCCGGCACCGGCGCCACCGCGGCCGCGGCCGCCAGGAGACCGGCGGCGGCGGAGGCCCCCGCTGTGGCGGGCCCGTCGCTCGTCACCACCCCCGCCTCCTCCCCGGCCTCCGCGCCCATCGCGGCGGCGCCACTCCCCCGCACGCCCCCGTCCTCGTGGAACGCCCCCGAGCAGTGGCCGCAGGCCCGCAGCTTGGCCTGCGGAGATCGCGGAGATCGCGGGGATCGCGGAGATCGCGGGGATCGCGGAGATCGCGGAGATCGCGGAGATCGCGGAGATCGCGGGGATCGCGGAGATCGCGGGGATCGCGGAGATCGCGGAGATCGCGGGGATCGCGGAGATCGCGGGGATCGCTTCGAGGTTCCGACTCAGCGGGCCGCCCCCCCCCCCCCGGTAAAACATCGCGCCACGGTGGCTAGGAGATGTTAACTCCCTCGCCTGGTACGCAGGAGGCCGTGGGTTCTATCCCGACCCTGACGCCTGCTGCTGTATATTTGGAGTTTGCGGTGTCTCTCCCTCCACGTGATCGCGTCTAGAGATTTTTCTCCGGGTCCTCCGATTTTCCCCTCCACATTTAGGATCAACGTCGCGCGTTTTTGAGTGTTTCGCTGCCGTAAATTTCCACGCGACGGGAAGCCACTTCCGTTGAGCCATCGTTTGTGATGGCCTGGGTCGCTTCGTAAGAAGAGCTACGCAGCTCAAGCGGGCCCTTACCTGGCAAAATAAAACGTCAGAAAAATTGTCTTAAAATTGTTCCGTTTGAAAACCCGCCGTACGAGCTCGAACCGCGGCACCGGCAAGTTGCGATCGTCACCGTCCCACCCCCCCCCCCCCCCCCCCGCTCACTACGCTGTGTGCATGGCGCACCACCACCACGCGCCTCCCTCCCTCCCCCCTTCCCTCCCTCCGTCTGTCCCTCACTCCCTCCCTCTCCCCCCCCTCCCTCCCTCCCTCCGTCTGTCACTCCCTCCGTCACTCCCTCTCCCCCCCCTCCCTCCCTCCGTCTGTCACTCCCTCCGTCACTCCCTCCCTCTTCCCCTCCCTCCCTCCCTCACTCCCTCCCTCACTCCCTCCTCCTCGCTCATGAGCTCTCAGATCCTCCCACCGTGAGATGGAAATGAAAACGTTAAAAAGTTATCGTTTGGCAAGATGCACAAAAACTCGTCGCTCGCGCTGAGAATTTTTTTTGACGCTCGCGCTGAGAATTTTTTTTGACGCTCGCGCTGAGAATTTTTTTTGACGCTCGCGCTGAGAATTTTTTTTGACGCTCGCGCTGAGAATTTTTCCCAAGGATGCCGTCAACGTCCCACGTGTCGCTTAGCCACCTCTCCGTCTTGACCCCCAACGTCGGCCCGACGTCGCCCCGGCGACGTTAGACCGACCTCGTCCCGACGTTCCGTGGGTGGAGCGACGAAGCTTTGTTGGGCTGGTTTCTTATTTCACTCTTTGTAAAGTTTTCAACCCCTCCCCCCCCTCCGCTGCGCTGCCCTCCCCCCCCCTCTCCGGGCCCTCCCCCCCACACACCGTGCACCGCCAACCCCACACCCCCCCCCCCCCACTCTGTTTTGACAGCACGAAGCTTTGAGCGGAGACAAAGCGACACGGGAGTGGCGAGGTGACGCACGGCGCTCTGCGTCGACTCGCACGGATGAAAGCCAAGACGGTAATCGGGCGAGCGGAGAATAGAACCCTGACCTTCCCACCTCGCCCCACCAGCCCCCACAGCGCTGACCGCCCCCCGACACTCCCCCCCACCCCCCCCCTCCACCCCCACACTGGAGGACACGTGTGGGGGTCCAGGTCGTGGGTAGGGGTGGGACTAATTTCCTTATTTGCGCCAAGAGCCATGACAACCACAACTAAGCTAAAACCACAAAACTAAACGATTTTTTTTTATTTGACCAGGTAAGGTCCACTGAGTTGTGTCGCTCTTTCTCCAGAAGCGAGCCGGCCGTCACAGATGAGAGCTCAACGGAATTTACAGCAGCAGTCGAATCCTCTGAACGCGTGCTGATGTTGATTCTAAATGTGGAGGGCCTGGAGAAAAATCCACGCGACCAACGGGGAGAGAGAGACACGCAAACTCCAAATATACAGCAGCAGCAGCAGGCGTCAGGGTCGGGATCGAACCCACGACCTCCTGTATACCAGGCGAGGTAGTTAACATCTCCTAGCCACCGTGATGATGATGAGAGAGAGAGAGACACCGCAAATTCCAAATATATAGCAGCAGGCGTCAGGGTCGGGATCGAACCCACGACCTTCTGTATACCAGGCGAGGTAGTTAACATCTCCTAGCCACCGTGATGATGATGAGAGAGAGAGACACGCAAACTCCAAATATGCAGCAGGCGTAGTGGTGAGTGTGATGTGGTGGTGAGCGTGGTGTGGTGGTGAGCGTGGTGTGGTGGTGAGCATGGTGTGGTGGTGAGCGTGATGTGGTGGTGAGCGTGGTGTGGTGGTGAGCGTGATGTGGTGGTGAGCGTGGTGTGGTGGTGAGCGGATGTGGTGGTGAGCGTGGTGTGGTGGTGAGCGTGATGTGGTGGTGAGCGTGGTGTGGTGGTGAGCGTGATGTGATGGTGAGCGTGGTGTGGTGGTGAGCGTGATGTGGTGGTGAGCGTGATGTGGTGGTGAGCGTGGTGTGGTGGTGAGCGTGGTGTGGTGGTGAGCGTGGTGTGGTGGTGAGCGTGGTGTGGTGGTGAGCGTGATGTGAGCGTGGTGTGGTGGTGAGCGGATGTGGTGGTGAGCGTGGTGTGGTGGTGAGCGTGATGTGGTGGTGAGCGTGGTGTGTTGGTGAGCGTGGTGTGGTGGTGAGCGTGGTGTGGTGGTGAGCGTGGTGTGGTGGTGAGCGTGATGTGGTGGTGAGCGTGGTGTGGTGGTGAGCGTGGTGTGGTGGTGAGCGTGATGTGGTGGTGAGCGTGGTGTGGTGGTGAGCGTGGTGTGGTGGTGAGCGTAGTGTGGTGGTGAGTGTGATGTGGTGGTGAGCGTGGTGTGGTGGTGAGCGTGGTGTGGTGGTGAGCGTGGTGTGGTGGTGAGCGTGGTGTGGTGGTGAGCTTGATGTGGTGGTAAGCGTGGTGTGGTGGTGAGCGTGATGTGGTGGTGAGCGTGGTGTGGTGGTGAGCGAGCTGTGGATGGTGAGCGTGATGTGGTGGTGAGCGTGGTGTGGTGGTGAGCGTGGTGTGGTGGTGAGCGTGGTGTGGTGGTGAGCTTGATGTGGTGGTAAGCGTGGTGTGGTGGTGAGCGTGATGTGGTGGTGAGCGTGGTGTGGTGGTGAGCGAGCTGTGGATGGTGAGCGTGGTGTGGTGGTGAGCGTAGTGTGGTGGTGAGCGTGATGTAGTGGTGAGCGTGGTGTGGTGGTGAGCGAGCTGTGGATGGTGAGTGTGGTGATGCTCACTCACCCTTATAACGTCCATCTCTGCTCGGCTCGATGCCTGCTTCTGTTCGAGCCGTATGCTGAGTTGAGAGCAAATCTGTAAACGTTGAAAACCAACAACAACAACAACAACATCATCATCATCATCAACCATGCTCTATCAACTGCTGGCATCCCAATCTCCCCACCACAGTGGCGGCGCACATCGGAACCGGTCCTGGGCCATCACGTAGGTCGACTCAGCCTAAACACGAGTCTTCACCGCGGTGTTGTACTAAACATCGGCGCTGGGGAGGCAAAAGGGCGTAGTGCTGTCCTTCACGGTGCCGCTCGCACAACGGGCACTTGCCCCGGCGGTCCGTGCGGGCTATACGGTAGGGGAACCTTTGTCTTTGTGCAGCGTCACACCTGCTTGTACTCGCCGATGATGGAGCTGCTCTTGCTCATATCCCGCCCGGCTTTCTCCATCTCGCGACGGCACAGCTCCTTCAGCTGGGGGGGGGGGGGGGGGCGGGGGGTCAAGGATCCAGGCCAGGGGTGGGGTGAAGACAAAGACGACAGAGAAACGGGGGGGGGGGGGGGGGTGGCAACACGACGGTGAGACGACGCGGTGTGTCTGTCCGTTCACTTCTCTTTTCCACTGCCACATCCGAGCCGTGCTGGGGCCGTTTTCCCGAGCCGGCCCGGCTTTGCTCAGGAGGCGCCGCGGTCCGTGAAGGCTAAACGGGGGAGATATCTGTCTCCTGGTGAGTGAGTGTGATTGAGTGTGAGTGGGTGAGTGTGGGTGTGAGTGGGTGAGTGTCAATGAGTGAGTGAGAGTGAGTGAGAGTGAGTGTGAATGAGTGTGAGTGAGTGTGAGTGGGTGAGGGTGAGTGGGTTTAGAGTGAGTGAGTGAGAGTGAGTGTGAGTGAATGAGTGAGTGTGAGTGAGAGTGAGTGAGATTGAGTGAGTGTGAGTGAGTTTGAGTGAGAGTGAGTGAGAGTGAGTGTGAATGAGTGAGAGTGAGTGAGTGTGAGTGAGTGAGTGTGAGTGAGTGAGTGAGAGTGAGTGAGTGTGAGTGAGTGAGTGGGTGAGTGTGAGTGAGTGGGTGAGTGTGAGTGGGTGTCAATGAGTGTGAGTGAGTGAGTGTGAATGAGTGTGAGTGAGTGAGTGAGAGAGAGTGAGTGAGTGAGAGTGAGTGAGTGAGTGTGAGTGAGTGAGTAAGAGTGAGTGAGTGAGAGTGAGTGTGAATGAGTGAGTGTGAGTGACTGTGAGTGAGTGTGAGTGAGTGAGTGTGAGTGAGAGTGAGTGAGTGTGAATGAGTGAGTGTGAGTGAGTGCGAGTGAGTTTGAGTGAGTTTGAGTGAGAGTGAGTGAGTGAGAGTGAGTGAGTGAGAGTGAGTGAGTGAGTGTGAGTGAGTGAGTGAGAGTGAGTGAGAGTGAGTGAGAGTGAGTGTGAGTGAGAGGGAGTGAGTGAGTGTGAATGAATGAGTGTGAGTGAGTGTGAGTGGATGAGAGTGAGTGTGAGTGAGTGAGTGTGTGAGAGTGAGTGTGAATGAGTGAGCGGTGTGCTCATCTGGGGGAGCGGTGGTGTTGCGGTTAGTGAGCCACGCTACGAACTTGGCGTCCCGGGTTCGATTCCCGCTCACGGTCAACGCCAGTGACGATTATCTGAACCGGTCCTGGGCCTCCCCTAGTTCGACTCAGCCTCAAATGAGTACCTGGTGCGGTGTGTAGTAAACATCGCCACTGGGGAGACAAAGGCGGTCGGGCGTGGTGCTGGACACCCACCCCCTCGTGTACCGTGCCGGCCTTCATAGGTGCTCGCTAACAGCACTTGCCCCTACAGTCTGTGGCAGGCTGTACGGGGGGGGGGGGGGGTGCTCATCTCAGAGTCCCATGGCACCTGGGTCCGTCCAGTTACCTTGCTGCCAGCGGGCGTCCGAAACGTCACTTAGAGTGCACATGGCCTGGCACGGGCGCCTTGGTGAGGTCACCGCCACTCAGCGGCCAGGGGTGGTCGCCGGCGTGCTCACCTTGACCGCCTCCTCCTCCATTCTCCTCTTGTCCCCCTCCGTCTCCAGCAGCCTCTGCTTGGTGAGCAGCAGCTCCTTGGTGAGCACGTCAACTTTGTCCTCGGCCTGGTGAGCACGGGTGAGCGGGGTGGGTCGGGGGAGCGGGGGGTGAGTGGGGTGAGTGGGGTGAGTGGGGTGAGCGGGGTGAGTGGGGTGAGTGGGGTGAGCGGGGTGAGTGGGGTGAGTGGGGGTGGGTCGGGGGAGCGGGGTGAGTGGGGTGAGCGGGGTGAGTGGGGTGAGCGGGGTGAGTGGGGTGAGTGGGGTGAGTGGGGTGGGTCGGGGGAGCGGGGTGAGTGGGGTGAGCGGGGTGAGTGGGGTGAGCAGGATGAGTGGGTGAGTGGGGTGAGTGGGGGGGAGTGGGGTGAGCGGGGTGAGTAGGGGGAGTGGGGTGAGTGGGGTGTGCGGGGTGAGTGGGGTGAGCGGGGTGAGTGGGGTGAGTAGGGTGAGTGGAGTGAGGGGGTGAGTGGAGTGAGGGGGTGGGGTGAGTGAGGCGTGCATGTGTGTGGTGTCTATGAGGAATGGTCGCTCAGTGCTTAGCGCCACTGAGCGACGCACCCACCGACCTAAGTTTGACTCCCACTCATGGCCAATAACAGTGTTGAATATCCGGACCGGTGCTGGGCATCCCCTAGGTTAACTCAGCCTGAAATCAGTACCTGGTGCGGCGTGTAACCATCAGCAGTCGGGGCACAAAGGTGGCGCCGCTGCTCGCTAACGGCACTTGCCCCTACGGTCTGTGAAGGCTACACGGTGGGGTCAGGGGGAGCTTTGTCTTTGTGCATCCAGTCGTCCGTCTCTCCAACCGGACCCGAAAGCCCCTCCCCCCACCCCCCCCCGCTTCCCCACTCCGCCCCCCCCCCCCGATCCCACAGCACTTTTGACGTTGAGAGGGACGTGACCCGCCCCAGCCGAACCTTTATGTACATGCAATGACCTTTGCCCCGGAGCTCGTGGGGCCCCCAACCCCCCCCCCCACACCCCCCCCCCCCACACCCCGCCCCCCCCCACACCCCGCCCCCCCCCCACACCCCCCCCCACACCCCCCCCACACCCCCCCCCACACCCCGCCCCCCCCACACCCCGCCCCCCCCCCACCCCCCCCCGGCTGACCTTGTCGAGGTCACCCCGCAGGGCGATCTTGCTGGTGACCAGCTCGTGCGCCAGGGTCGTCGTTCTCCTGCTCCAGCCGCAGGTTCGCCTCCTGCAGGCGGCGGCCCTCGCGCTGACCGCAGCGACGCGCACGGGGGTCACGGGCGTGGGGGGGGGGGGTGGGGGGGGAGAGGGGCGAGAGGGGCGGGGGCAAGGAGGTGGGAGCAGCGATCAGGAGCGCGTGCAGCGATCAGGAGCATGTGCAGCGATCAGGAGCATGTGCAGCGATCAGGAGCGTGTGCAGCGATCAGGAGCGCGTGCAGCGATCAGGAGCGAGTGCAGCGATCAGGAGCGCGTGCAGCGATCAGGAGCGCGTGCAGCGATCAGGAGCGCGTGCAGCGATCAGGAGCGCGTGCGGCGATCAGGAGCGCGTGCGGCGATCAGGAGCGCGTGCAGCGATCAGGAGCGCGTGCAGCGATCAGGAGCATGTGCAGCGATCAGGAGCGTGTGCAGCGATCAGGAGCGCGTGCAGCGATCAGGAGCGAGTGCAGCGATCAGGAGCGCGTGCAGCGATCAGGAGCGCGTGCGGCGATCAGGAGCGCGTGCGGCGATCAGGAGCGCGTGCAGCGATCAGGAGCGCGTGCGGCGATCAGGAGCGCGTGCAGCGATCAGGAGCGCGTGCAGCGATCAGGAGCGTGTGCAGCGATCAGGACCGTGTGCAGCGATCAGGAGCGTGTGCAGCGATCAGGAGCGCGTGCAGCGATCAGGAGCGCGTGCAGCGATCAGGAGCGCGTGCAGCGATCAGGAGCGCGTGCAGCGATCAGGAGCGCGTGCAGCGATCAGGAGCGTGTGCAGCGATCAGGAGCGTGTGCAGCGATCAGGAGCGTGTGCAGCGATCAGGAGCGCGTGCAGCGATCAGGAGCGTGTGCTGCGATCAGGAGCACGTGCAGCGCTGTCGCTTCACCCCAAAGCCTCCACGCGTGCGAGCGGTGTGGACGACGAACGGCGCGAGGCGGAGTGCAGCGTGAAACGGCGATGACGACGCTGGTGACCATGAGTACGATCTGGATGCAAGGTGACATTTGGCGGACTCCACCCCCGCCCCCCTGCCCGATTCATCCATGGACTCTGGTGGGGGGGGGGGGGGGGGGGGGGGGAGCTGCCCGGGGCCTCGGGAGCCTCGGCACGACGTGGCTGCTCCCGGAGCGGCGAGCTCACCTTGAGCCTCTCCACTGGGTCCTCCTCCTGCGCCATCTGCTCCCTCATGGTGAGGAATTCTCGCTCAAACTTCTTCAGCCGCCGCTGGCTCACCTGTGGCTCGCGCGGGGGTGAGGGGGTTGGGGGGTAGGGGGGGAGGAGCACGCGTGGAGCACGTGAGGAGCACGCGGGGGGCACGTGAGGAGCACGCGTGGAGCACGTGAGGGGCACGTGGAGCACGTGAGGCGCACACGTGGAGCAGGGCTCTGACCTCCATTGTTTCCCAGGCCCAGCACCCCAAAGCGAGCACACTTCAGGGAGGCTCAACCAGGACACGTGGTGGAGCTGACAGCTCCCTCCCTCCCTCATTCAGCCCTGCATCATCGGTGACAACATCTCAGTTTCTGACGAAGAGCTTTAGAAACTAAACTAAAACTTTTTATTTTTTATTTCGCCAGGTAAGGTCTCACAGAGCTGCCACGTGGCCCAGGTCAGAAGCGACCTGGGCCACAAATGACAGCTCAACGGAAGTGGCTTCTTCTATCATCGTGTGGCGCACAAATAGTCTACATTTAGAATGTTGATTCTAAATGTAGAGGTGAAAACCCCGTAGGACCCGGAGAAAAATCCACGTGACCACGGCGAGAGAGAGAGAGACACACGCAAACTCCAAATATACAGCAGCAGGCATCTGGGTCGGGATTGAACCCACGACCTCCTGTATACCGGGCGAGGTAGTTAACATCTCCTAGCCACCGTAATGATGATGAGAGAGAGAGACACGCAAACTCCAAATATACAGCAGGCGTCAGGGTCGGGATTGAACCCACGACCTCCTGCATACCAGGCGAGGTAGTTAACATCTCCTAGCCACCGTGGCACCCAAATTAGCGGCGGCTGTCACGCGGTTGCCGTCGTTAGGAGCCACCACGGGCATCTGAGAGAGAGAGCGGTGGGAGTCTCGTAGAAATTGTCTGCTATAGTTACCCAAGAATGTCAGTGTGTAACGCGTGTGACGTCACTCCACGTCGACCAGCCCCCCTCATTAATCATGAACAGGTTACATCTTCCACATTAATAATCATCAGTGGGTGACGTTACTCCGCATGGAGAACCCCCCCCCCCCCCATAGTAATAGGTTTTACCCTTTCAAATGGCACAAAAACTGACACCTTTATTCAAGGCATCATGTTTGCAATAACCACAACACAAGCAGTCAAAATGCAAACAAAAGAGACAACTCTGATAATAATATGCACTGTCCTTGAATTTGATTGGTCCACACCCGAGACGGCTTTTCTTAGAGCCTAGTCTCCACTGGTGTTGGACCAGAAGACGCCAAAAGGCGTACAACTCAAAAACAGCGCACTATCAGAAAACGCCCCCCCCCCCTCTCATTCATAATCACGAGCGGGTGACGTCACTCCACATGGGGGGGGGGCGAGGCGCCTCCTCCCCCATCCTCAGCGTCAACTCACAACCCTTCACTCTCCGAGCGCCCACCTTGTTGGCTAGGAGATGTTCACTAGGGGGCGGCCATTACGAACCACCCAACCCGGGACTGTTTGCGGCCCAACCGGGACACCGCGGTGGTGGCTTGGAGGCGCCGTGTGACCTCCCCCCTCCCCCCCTCCCCCCCCCGGGTTTGTGGTGTCGTTAGTAACGGGGTCGTGGAGACACGCGGTGGCGGGGGTCCACCGGGAGAGATAGAGGACTAAACAAAGATCCCCCGTGCAGCCTACACAGCCAGTCGGGGCAAGTGCCGTTAGTAGCAGCAGCACCTACGAAGGCCGGCACGGCACACGGAGGGGGAGGGGTGGCCGGCACCGCGCCTGGCCACCTTTGTCTCCCCAGTGGCGATGTTTACTACACACCGCACCGGGTACTCATTTGAGGCTGAGTCGACCTAGAGGAGGCCCAGGACCGGTTCAGATAATCGTCACCGGTGTTGGCCGTGAGCGGGAATCGAACCTCCGGTCGCCGGGTTCGTGGAGCAGCGTAGCGCTAACCGCTGCACCACCGCTCACCCACCAATACCAACACCCGCCATTCGTCACCAAGTGACGGTGACGTCACAACGGGGCCTGTGCCAGGCCACGTGCACTTTGAGGCCACGTGAAGTGTCGAAGGCTCGCCGACAGGAGGAGGTCTCGGGACAGACCCAGCAGGTGCCATGGGTTGCCTGACTCAGATGACCGGTAGATGCACCACCAGCTGTACCCCCCTACTGTGCCAGGCTAGGTGCAGGGGGGACAGACCCAGCAGGTGCCATGGGTAGACTGACTTAGATGACCGATAGATGCACCACCAGCTGTACCCCCTACTGTGCCAGGCTAGGTGCAGGAGGGACAGACCCTGCAGATCCCATGGGTCGGCTGACTGAGATGACCGGTAGATGCACCACCAGCTGTACCCCCCTACTGTGCCAGGGCTAGGTGCAGGAGGGACAGACCCTGCAGGTGCCATGGGTCAGCTGACTCAGATGACCGATAGATGCACCACCGGCTGTTACCCCCCTACTCTGCCAACTCACTGTATTTTATCCGCCCGGCGCTCCGCTCGTTGTTGTGAGCGTCGCTCCCCTGCCTTCCGTTGTTGCTGGAGGGCGACTGCCTCCAACTGCCCAGCAGCAGCGTCCTCACCATCCACTTGCCCCCACCGGCCAGTGAAAGACTACATGAGGGATCTTCGCCTTAGTTCGATAATGCATCACGTAATTACATTATCAGAGCGTGTTTTTTTTCGTTTGCACGTTCACCACAAGGCGCCGCGTGCGGTCGATGCTCACGGGATTCCTCGCAGGACATTTCTGCTTGGTATTTTAACATCTTAAACACCCCCGGTGTTAAGTGAGAGTGATTTATCATTCTGTCACGGATTCATTTAAGTCTGTTACAGCGCGGTTTACCATCTCGGTTTAATCTCCCCCCCCCCCATCCCTCCCACACACTGAGCTATCAGAGACACTGAGCTATCAGAGACACTGAGCTATCAGACACACTGAGCTATCAGAGACACTGAGCTATCAGAGACACTGAGCTATCAGACACACTGAGCTATCAGACACACTGAGCTATCAGAGACACTGAGCTATCAGAGACACTGAGCTATCAGACACAATGAGCTATCAGAGACACTGAGCTATCAGAGACACTGAGCTATGACAGACACTGAGCTATCAGACACACTGAGCTATCAGAGACACTGAGCTATCAGACACACTGAGCTATCAGAGACACTGAGCTATCAGACACACTGAGCTATCAGACACACTGAGCTATCAGAGACACTGAGCTATCAGAGACACTGAGCTATCAGACACACTGAGCTATCAGAGACACTGAGCTATCAAACACAATGAGCTATCAGAGACACTGAGCTATCAGACACACTGAGCTATCAGACACACTGAGCTATCAGAGACACTGAGCAATCAGACACACTGAGCTATCAGACACACTGAGCTATCAGAGACAATGAGCTATCAGACACACTGAGCTATCAGAGACACTGAGCTATCAGACACACTGAGCCATCAGAGACACTGAGCTATCAGACACACTGAGCTATCAGACACACTGAGCTATCAGACACACTGAGCTATCAGACAAACTGAGCTATCAGAGACACTGAGCTATCAGACACACTGAGCTATCAGACACACTGAGCTATCAGACACACTGAGCTATCAGAGACACTGAGCTATCAAAGACACTGAGCTAACAGACACACTGAGCTATCAGACACACTGAGCTATAAGAGACACTGAGCTATCAGACACACTGAGCTATCAGACACACTGAGCTATCAGACACACTGAGCTATCAGAGACACTGAGCTATCAGAGACACTGAGCTATCAGACACACTGAGCTATCAGACACACTGAGCTATCAGACACACTGAGCTATCAGAGACACTGAGCTATCAGACACACTGAGCTATCAGAGACACTGAGCTATCAGACACACTGAGCTATCAGAGACACTGAGCTATCAGACACACTGAGCTATCAGACACACTGAGCTATCAGAGACACTGAGCTATCAGGCACACTGAGCTATCAGACACCCAGAGACACTGAACCCGTATGAACCCGTCACCGACCCCCCACCCCCGTGATACGCCCCCTCCCCCCACCGTGACCTCCCCGTGACCCTGGGGCACACCTTGACCCCGCAGGCGACCTCCATGAGGCGCCGCGCGCTCTCCTCGGCGCGGTACCGCTTGGGCAGCTGCACGCGGAAGAATTTGAGCGCTCCCTCGAAGTCGGCCTGCAGAAGGTCCTCCCGGGACGTCTACACACCGTGAGGGGCGGTGGGGAGGGGGCGGACAGGTGAGTGACAGGTGAGCGACAGGTGAGCGCGGAGTACTTGGACTGCTGAGATCACCCACTCGCTCGACCAGTTCAACCACATCCCGGCCTACGTGAGTCTCTCAGTCTCTGGATGTGAGGGTATGTGAGTCTGTGCGTCTCTGTGTGAGTCTGTGGGTCTCTGTGTGAGTATACGGGCGTTTGTGTGAGTCTATGGGTCTCTGTACGAGTCTATTGGTCTCTGTGCAAGTCTATGGGTCTCTGTGTGAGTCTACGGGTCTCTGTGAGTCTATGGGTCTCTGTGTGAGTATATGGGCGTTTGTGTGAGTCTATGGGTCTCTGTGCAAGTCTATCGGTCTCTGTGCGAGTCTACGGGTCTCTGTGCGAGTCTATGGGTCTCTATGTGAGTATATGGGCATTTGTGTGAGTCTATGGGTCTCTGTACGAGTCTATGGGTCTCTGTGCAAGTCTATGGATCTCTGTGTGAGTATATGGGTCTCTATGTGAGTCTATGGGTCTCTTTGTGAGTCTATGGGTCTCTGTGTGAGTATATGGGTGTTTGTGTGAGTCTATGGGTCTCTGTGTGAGTCTACGGGTCTCTTTGTGAGTCTATGGGTCTCTGTGTGAGTATATGGGTGTTTGTGTGAGTCTATGGGTCTCTGTGCGAAGTCTACGGGTATCTATGTGAGTCTATGGGTCTCTATGCAAGTCTATGGGTCTCTGTGTGAGTATATGGGTCTCTATGTGAGTATATCGGTCTCTGTGCGAGTCTACGGGTCTCTGTGCGAGTCTATGGGTCTCTATGTGAGTATATGGGCATTTGTGTGAGTCTATGGGTCTCTGTACGAGTCTATGGGTCTCTGTGCAAGTCTATGGATCTCTGTGTGAGTATATGGGTCTCTATGTGAGTCTATGGGTCTCTGTGTGAGTATATGGGCGTTTGTGTGAGTCTATGGGTCTCTGTGCAAGTCTATGGGTCTCTGTGTGAGTCTACGGGTCTCTTTGTGAGTCTATAGGTCTCTGTGTGAGTATATGGGTGTTTGTGTGAGTCTATGGGTCTCTGTGCGAGTCTATGGGTCTCTATGTGAGTATATGGGTCTCTGTGCAAGTCTATGGGTCTGTGTGTGAGTCTACGGGTCTCTATTTGAGTCTATGGGTCTCTGTGTGAGTATATGGGCGCTTGTGTGAGTCTATGGGTCTCTGTGCAAGTCTATGGGTCTCTGTGTGAGTCTACGGGTCTCTATGTGAGTCTATGGGTCTCTGTGTGAGTATATGGGTGTTGGTGTGAGTCTATGGGTCTCTGTGTGAGTCTACAGATCTCTATGTGAGTCTATGGGTCTCTGTGTGAGTATATGGGTCTCTATGTGAATATATGGGTCTCTGTGCAAGTCTATGGGTCTCTGTGTGAGTCTACGGGTCTCTATGTGAGTCTATGGGTCTCTGTGCAAGTCTATGGGTCTCTGTGTGAGTCTACGGGTCTCTATGTGAGTCTATGGGTCTCTGTGTGAGTATATGGGTGTTTGTGTGAGTCTATGGGTCTCTGTGTGAGTCTACGGATCTCTATGTGAGTCTATGAGTCTCTGTGTGAGTATATGGGTCTCTATGTGAATAAATGGGTGTTTGTGTGAGTCTATGGGTCTCTGTGCAAGTCTATGGGTCTCTGTGTGAGTCTCACTCTGTGGAACAGGGGGAAATCATACACACTCCACTCACTTACTCTGACTCTGTGGAACAGGGGGGGGATGATACAAACTCCACTCACTCTCACTCTGTGGAACAGGGTAAGATCATACAAACTCCACTCACTCTCACTCTGTGGAAAAGGGGGAGATCATACAAACGCCACTCACTCTCACTGTGGAACAGGGGGAGATCATACAATCTCCACTCACTCTCACTGTGGAACAGGGGGAGATCATACAAACTCCACTCACTCATTGTAGAACAGGGGGAGATCATACAAACTCCACACACTCACTCTCACTCTGTGGAACAGGGGGAGATCATACAAACTCCACACACTCTCACTCTGTGGAACAGGGGGAGATCATACAAACTCCACTCACTCACTCTCACTCTGTGGAACAGGGGGAGATCATACAAACTCCACACACTTACTCTCACTCTGTGGAACAGGGGGAGATCATACAAACTCCACACACAAATAGCGGTTCCCGAAACGGGGATCAAACCCAGGTCGCCTTCTTTTTGCCGTGCAGTACAAGCAGTTCAGTTCACCACTGTGCCACCACCACCACCACCACCACCACCGCCACCACCACCATCACCGCCACCGCCACCACCACCACCACCACCACCGCCACCACCGCCACCACCGCCACCCACCGCCACCACCACCATCGCCACCACCACCGCCACCCACCGCTATCACCACCACCACCGCCACCAGCACCACCACCACCACCGCCACCGCCGCCGCCACCGCCACCACCACCACCAGCACCACCGGCACCACCGGCACCACCACCATCGCCACCCGCCACCAAAACCGCCACCACCGCCACCGCCACCCCAACCACCACCACCACCAACGCCACCACCACCACCACCGTCACCACCACCACCGCCAACGCCACCACCGCCACCACCACCACCGCCACCACTACCACAGCCACCACCACCTCCACCACCAACACCATTACCGCCACCACCACCACCACCACCCACCCGCCCACAAATCAGCCGAGCAGCGGTGGTGCCGGCGGACGCCACCCATCTCACGGGAATACCGTGGAGATTCAGCACCATGGCTACGGACATCCATGTCGTGAGGACGTTTAGGGTTTACACAGCAGTGTATACACACGGCGTGCATTATTAGAGTCTGTATCGTATGGCAGTCGAAACAACAAAGGAGTGATCTGCACGTTGGTCAATAACGCCGCCTTTGAAGGGGATGCACAAAATGTGGCTTAAGAAAAATAACGGTAACGTTGACGATCCAAATAGCCAACGGATCGCATTTGAGACGAGTGTTTTTTTTGCTCGTGAGACGTTCCGGCAGTCGGAAACACCGAACAAAGATTCCCACCCCCCCCCCCCGTGTAGCCTTAACAGACTGTAGGGGCAAGTGCTGTTAGCGAGCAGCACCTACGAAGGCCGGCACGGCACACGAAGGGGTGGGTGGCCAACAAACCACGCCCGGCCGCCTTTGTCTCCCCAGTGGCGATGTTTTACACACCGCACACCAGGAACTAATTTGAGGCTGAGTCGACCTCGGGGAGGCCCAGGACCGGTTCGGAAAATCGTCACCGGCGTTGGCCGTGGGCGGGAATCGAACTCGGATCGCCGGGGTTCGTGGCGCAGCGTAGCGCTAACCGCTGCACCACCGCTCACGTTCAGGGTTTACACGGCAGTGTACACAGTGTGCTCTCTAGTCCGTATCGTATGACAGTCTAAACAGTTGGAAACACACACACACACGCACACACACACACGCACACACACACGCACACACACACACACGGTCGGTCGGTCACACCGCGATCACCTATTAAGGCCGGCACGGCGCACGAGGGCACTGCGGTGGCCAGCACCACGTCCCGGCCGCCTTTGTCTCTCGAGCGGAGATGTTTATTACACACCGCACCATTGGGTCATGTGCTCGTTTGAGGCCGAGTCGACCGTTTCAGATATTCGCCGCTGTTATTGGCCGCCCGCGGGAATGGAACTCGGCTCGCAGAGCGAACCACCGCGCCACCGCTCCCCACACAATTTGTGCACACATCTACACACACACACAAGGTGCATATCTGGGACGAAGATCTAACAGGTCGGGTCTGTGCAAATAAACATCTGGGCAGTTCGCCAGCATTGGTTCAAGCGAGCCTGACAACTGCTGATGAGACACTGACTGCCAAAGCCGGTACAGAGTTTTGCTTGTTCTTGAAGTCAACGCCGCGGAAATGATGCACTCCTAGAAGGCTGCGTGGCTGATGGAACGTGTCCAAAAAAGCCCCAACAATTTCGTTGTTCCATCACAGCGCTCTTCATCGCAAGGTCCCCTGATTGCCTTCAGTGCGGCCCCGGCCAATACACAAAGAGTGAAAACACCAACCCCACCCCCAACTATGCCGTGAAACCCAAAAGTGGTTTCAAACGAGTGTGGAGGCCTTTCCTCAGGCCGACGATGTCCGCCCGCCACCGACCCCTCTGAACGTTCGTGAAGAACGCCGCTCTCTTGCGGACGGACGGACAGATTGGTAATGTCCACCGACTTGCTCTCAGACTCAATCGTCCATCCCCTGTCGAAGAGAAACGGGATCCATTCGGGACGAACCGCGGGGCTCAGATGGGCCGGTTTTTGAGTTATGGGCTCTGTGAAGCTCGTCGTGATTACCGGGCGAAACGTCGTACCCGGATTGTAAATGTTGTGGCTTTGTTCAGATTGTAAATGTTGTGGCTTTGTTTAGATTGTAAATGTTGTGGCTTTGTTCAGATTGTAAATGTTGTGGCTTTGTTCAGATTGTAAATGTTGTGGCTTTGTTCAGATTGTAAATGTTGTGGCTTTGTTCAGATTGTAAATGTTGTGGCTTTGTTCAGATTGTAAATGTTGTGGCTATGCTCTGCAACACGCCGGCGTGCTGCTCTCGTAACCAATTGGCACGTTCCGCGTTACGTGACAAACCTTACCAATTGGCTGTGCCGGGTGGTGGCGGCCTTAACAACACAACATTCATATATTTATGCGATCTAACCCCCGAAATAAAACCTGAATCACGGATGACATTGCTCGTGAAAGCCTCCTCCTCCTCCCACTCCTACTCCCTGTCAAGCCGGCCAATGAAATTAAGTTTGTGTCACGCCGCTGGACATCGATCCGCACCGCACACGCACGCAATGTTTACCCGTCGCGTGCTCGGAGCGGCGGCGTTTGGGAGCCCGGGGCAAACCGCACCGTGTGGACCCACCGGCGACACCACACATCTGACACCGTAATGTCGAAGCGGGGTGAACACGAATCGGAGCGACCGCCCCCCCCCCGCCCCCCCACCGCGCGGGCCCAGGGCGGTCGCTCCGATTCGCGGTCACCCCAGGGGACGGTTTCTGCGGACGGGTGATTTCGAACGCTCGTGGGGTGACCCGATGGGCCCCGCTTGGCGGAATGGAGACTCACTGCATCAGAGCGCCATCTGGTGGCTCGCGGCAGTTAGGCATTGAACACGATAATAACATGATAATCGTATAATATAATAATAATATTAAATTATATTATATAATTGTTATAATAATATATTAAAAATATTACGTGATGATCTAATTATTACAATCTAATTATTATAATCTAATTATTATAATATATTATAATCTAATTATTATAATCTAATTCTGAAAATATTTCTTGGTTTAGACCGGAGAAATCCGATGAGCTACGAAGCTCTTCTCCACAGACGTCTGGCAGGGGCACGGGGTCAGCAAAGCCACGGCAACAACAGACGACACAAACACACAGAGCCGACAGAGGTGCAGGAGAGAGAAAAGGGTTAATAATAAAGTCACAGAACGGGGATAAATGTGTAGAAATGAAGCAGTGCATGCGAGTGCAAATCGGACACGTACAGAAAATCCTGCCGATTTGTCAACGCTAGACGCAAGCTACGGAACAGGGCATCAAAACAACAATAACAGTCCCATACCACGCCGACACAACACGCAGCCGTTCACGTAAAACGGCACGTTAAAATGTAAACTATCGATGCAAACGGGTAAAACGTATCGATACGCGGGTGTCGATAGTTTATACAGGAGAGCCAGGCTGCTGGCACTCCTGTAGACCAGGCGAGGTAGTAAACATCTCCTAGCCACCGGCTCTCCTGTAGACCAGGCGAGGTAGTAAACATCTCCTAGCCACCGGCTCTCCTGTACACCAGGCGAGGTAGTAAACATCTCCTAGCCACCGGCTCTCCTGTACACCAGGCGAGGTAGTAAACATCTACTAGCCACCGGCTCTCCTGTATGCCAGGCGAGGTAGTAAACATCTCCTAGCCAGCGGCTCTCCTGTACACCAGGCGAGGTAGTAAACATCTCCTAGCCAGCGGCTCTCCTGTACACCAGGCGAGGTAGTAAACATCTCCTAGCCACCGGCTCTCCTGTACACCAGGCGAGGTAGTAAACATCTCCTAGCCACCGGCTCTCCTGTACACCAGGCGAGGTAGTAAACATCTCCTAGCCACCGGCTCTCCTGTATGCCAGGCGAGGTAGTAAACATCTCCTAGCCACCGGCTCTCCTGTATGCCAGGCGAGGTAGTAAACATCTCCTAGCCACCGGCTCTCCTGTATGCCAGGCGAGGTAGTAAACATCTCCTAGCCACCGGCTCTCCTGTACACCAGGCGAGGTAGTAAACATCTCCTAGCCACCGGCTCTCCTGTATGCCAGGCGAGGTAGTAAACATCTCCTAGCAACCGGCTCTCCTGTATGCCAGGCGAGGTAGTAAACATCTCCTAGCCACCGGCTCTCCTGTATGCCAGGCGAGGTAGTAAACATCTCCTAGCCAGCGGCTCTCCTGTACGCCAGGCGAAGTAGTAAACATCTCCTAGCCACCGGCTCTCCTGTACACCAGGCGAGGTAGTAAACATCTCCTAGCCAGCGGCTCTCCTGTACACCAGGCGAGGTAGTAAACATCTCCTAGCCACCGGCTCTCCTGTACACCAGGCGAGGTAGTAAACATCTCCTAGCCAGCGGCTCTCCTGTACACCAGGCGAGGTAGTAAACATCTCCTAGCCACCGGCTCTCCTGTACACCAGGCGAGGTAGTAAACATCTCCTAGCCAGCGGCAGGACGGCGGTGACCACTAACGGAGGTGACAATACCCAGGGAGGGAGGTCGGTGGGGGGGAGGAAGGGGGATGGGAGGGAGGGGGATGGGAGGGAGGGGGTGGGTGGGAGGGATGGGAGGGATGGGAGGGAGGGGTGGGTGGGAGGGAGGGGTGGGTGGGAGGAAGGGGTGGGTGGGAGGGAGGGGGGGGATGGGAGGGAGGGGGGGGATGGGAGGGAGGGGGGGGGATGGGAGGGAGGGGGGGGGATGGGAGGGAGGGGGGGGATGGGAGGGAGGGGGGGGATGGGAGGGAGGGGGGGGATGGGAGGGAGGGGGGGTAGGCGTGGGGGCCACTTGCCTTGAGTAGAGCCAGAGCGACGTTGAAGATGACGCTGAGACCCTGCGTGGGACGTGGTGGGGGGGGGGGGAGACACGGAGCCAACGTCAGGAAGGTCAGCGTGGAGCATAAACCAGCATCACGCAAACTCCCGGCGTGCTCGCAGCAGCAGCAGCAGCAGCGGCGGCGGCGGCGGCAGCGGCGGCAGTGGTGGCGGCTTTTTGGCGAAGCCGTCGAACCGCATCGCGCGGAACTTTCAGACGCGCTCCTGCGGCCGTCTGGAACGCTCTTCCGTCCGATACCAGGAAGCCACCGGGAGTTATGAACTTTTACATCACCTCCATGGAAAACGAGTTTCTCAGGAACAGTTTGTTTGCGTTTAGTCTGTTGTCCTTCTCCCACGGTGCGAAACAAGTCCAACGCACAAAGATCAAAGATCCCCCGTATAGCCTTAACAGACTGTAGGGGCAAGTGCTGTTAGCGAGCACCTGTGAAGGCCGGAACGGTACACGAGGGGGTGGGTGGCCAGCACCACGCCCGACCGCCTTTGTCTCCCTAGTGGCGATGTGTACACACCGCACCAGGTACTCATTTGAGGCTGAGTCGACCTAGGGGAGGCCCGGGACCGGTTCAGATAATCGTCACTGGTGTTGGCCGTGAGCGGGAATCGAACCCGGGTCGCCAGGTTCATAGCGCAGCGCGCTAACCGCTACACTATCGCTCCCCACAACAACAACAACAACCGCCATTCGCCACTAAGTGGCGGTGACGTCACCACGACGCTTGTGCCAGGCTATGTGCACCCTGAGGCCACGTGAAGTGTCGAACGCCCGCTGGCAGGAGGTCACGGGGCAGACCCAGGTGGTGCCACGGGTCGACTGACTGAGATGACTGGCTGATGCACCACCTGTGCCCCCTACTGTGCCAACCTGCTGTGCTTTAGCCACCCGGCGCTCCGCTCGTTGTTCTGAGCGTCGCTCCCCACAACGCACACACACACAAGCGTACGACATACATGCAACACACGTACGTAACGTGACGACACGGGCATGCGTGATTCTTTTAACACGGCACGCGACCGCTGAACTTCACGAAGAGAGCGGGGGGGCAATAAGACTACAACGACTACGACGTCGTCGACGATGGGTCGATGGCATCCCGCACCTCCGAGAGGAGGAGGTCGATGATGTGGAACACCATGTAGAGGGGGAACTTGGCGGTGAAGAGGGTGAGGAACCACTGGGATGCGTACATGTGGGCCTCCAGGCCTAGGCCCAGGAAGTGAGCGTACAGCTCGGGCACGTGCTCCTGTGGAAGGCAAAGAGAGAGAGAGGGAGAGAGACAGACACAAACCACGAATTCTATTTCACATCATTAGACCTCCTTTGCCAGTACCAAAATGTAATAATGAAAGGGTTTTTCCACTTTTTTTTTGGCAACAAAACTAAAACCTTTTTTTACAATGATTCATGTCTGCATTAACCACAATACCTGCAGTCAAAATGCAAACAAAAAACATACTACGATAATATATATGCATTGTCCTTGAAACTGATTGGTCCAGACCAAGGGACGGCTTTTGGCGTCATCTGGTCGAGCACCAATCGGGTCGAGGCTCAAAAGAAAGCCGTCCCTTGGTATGAACCAATCAGTTTCAAGGACAATGCATATATCATCATAGTATGTTTTTTTGTTTGCATTTTGACTGCAGGTATTGTGGTTAATGCAGTAGCATGAATCCTTGCAAAAAGGTTTCAGTTTTGTTGCCAGAAAAAAGGGGAAAACCCCTGTTATTATAACGAATTCTATTGTCGCAGGTTAATGCCCCACGGAGCTTCGTAAGGCCCCTTTCAGGAGCGGCCCGGCCATCACAAATGATTGCTCAGCGAAGCGGCTTGCCATCATCGCGTGGACAATTGAATCATTTGGCGGGACCCCGGGGTCCCACAAAAATCGGGTCAATAATTATTATTTTGCAGTCCGCCCCACTACGTGACCCCACCAGCAACGCGCCGCCCGCCCAGACTCACGCCAACAAGCGCCAGCAGCAGCAGCAGGCGGCGATCGACACGACGGGCGCCACCCCCACCGGCCAAACCCGAGCCCCGGGGGGCGTCCGCCGCAGTCGCGCGCGGCGACGACGCCCTCCGGTCAGCCGTCGATCCTCGGCTTCTTTGCCAAGGCGAGCCCCCCCACCGTCCCCCCCCCCCAGGCAGTGAATTTAACGTGTTTATGTAAATCTAGAATTTATGTAATTTTTCAACTTTTTACGAAACTTAGTGCCCCGAGTAGCTCTCGACGAGGCCAATCGATTGACACTAGTTTTGTCGTCGGTAAGGCAACGAGACTCGTGTCACTACGCGGGTTTTCCCACCCCGGGGCAGTGATGGGACCCCGGGGTCCCGCCAATTGCTTCATTTATCGCAGCCAAATGCTCTGAAGCGCAGGATGTTGATTGTGAACGTGGAGGGAAAAAGCGGAGGATCCAGGGAAAAATCCACGCGACCACGGAGAGAGAGACACGCAAACTACAAATATACAGCAGGCGTCAGGGTCGGGATCGAACCCACGACCTCCTGTATACCAGGCGAGGTAGTTAACATCTCCTAGCCACCGTGGCAAGGGTGAGCTACCGTGTGGCCTGGACAGAAGGTTGGGGTGAGCGTCGTTCGCGAGCACCGCCTGTGAAGGCTGGCACCACATGCACGCGCGCACGGATGCACTCACGCAGGCGCGCAAAAAAATATATACAAAGATCCCCCATATAGCCTATAACAGACTGTTGGGGCAAGTGCTGTTAGCGAGTCCCTATGAAGGCTGGAACGGCACACGAAGGGGTGGATGGCCAGCACCACGCCCGGCCGCCTTTATCTCCCTAGTGGCGATGTTTACGCATTACTCTAGGTACTCATTCGAGGCTGAGTCGACCTAGGAGAGGCCCAGGACCGGTTCAGATAATTGTCACCGGCGTTGGCCATGAGCAGGAATCGAACCCGGGTCGCCAGGTTCGTAGAGCAGCGCGCTAACCGCTACACCACCACTCCCCACACGCACACGCGCACGCACACACACGCACACACACACAGAGACACACACACACTCACACACCTGCATGAGTCTCTCCAGCTGGTAGAACTTGCAGTGGAGGTCATCGAAGTTTTGCCGGAAGAGGTCGCGCAGGCCGTAGGCGAACATGATCCTCACGAGCACCCCAAACGCCTGCTCCTCGGGCATCTGGGAGCGAGTAAACGCGAGCGGACGTTGGGGCGCACGGTCAGCGCACGGCGCTACGAACCCGGCGGCCCGAGTTCGATTCCCGATCCCCACGACCGCCTACACCGGCGACGATCATCTGAACCGGTTCTGGGTCTCCCCTAGAGTGAGTGAATGTGAGTGAGTGAATGTGAGTGCGAGTGAGTGAATGTGAGTGAGTGAATGTGAGTGAGTGAATGTGAGTGCGAGTGAGTGAGTGTGAGTGCGAGTGAGTGAATGTGAGTGAATGTGAATGTGAGTGCGAGTGAGTGAATGTGAGTGAGTGAATGTGAATGAGTGAATGTGAATGTGAGTGAGTGAATGTGAATGCGTGAGTGTGAGTGAATGTGAGTGAGTGAATATGAGTGAGTGAATGTGAATGTGAGTGAATGTGAGTGCGAGTGAGTGAATGCGAGTGAGTGAATGTGAGTGAGTGAATGTGAATGAGTAAATGTGAATGAGTGAGTGTGAGTGAATGTGAGTGAGTGAATGTGAGTGCGCGTGAGCAAATGTGAGTGCGAGTGAGTGAATGTGAGTGCGAGTGAATGTGAGTGCGAGTAAGTGAATGTGAGTGAGTGAATGTGAGTGAGTGAATGTGAGTGAGTGTGAGTGAATGTGAGTGATTGAATGTGAGTGAATGTGAGTGCGAGTGAATGTGAGTGCGAGTGAATGTGAGTGAGTGAATGCGAGTGAATGTAAGTGCGAGTGAGTGGATGTGAGTGCGAGTGAGTGAGCGACTCACGTGCAGGAGCAGTACGGCTGCGAGGAACGACTGTCCCTGGCAGTAGCCGATCTCCTCGTCGTAGATCGAGTAGGCCTGTGGTGGGGCAGACAATCATCGTCGTCGTCGTCGTCATCATCAAGGGCAAGCTGCCACTAGGAGGTCCCCTAGGCTAATGCGCACTGAGACAAGTTGTAAGAATTTGTTTGACCCTTTCTGGAAATAAAGCAAGAGGTGTTAAGATGTTAAAACACCAAACTGAAACCTTTCGCAAGGAATCATGTCTACATTAACCACACATCATTGTGGTGAACATGAAAACAACAACAACAACAACACATGTTCTGGTAGTGTGTGATGCATTGTCTTTGAAACTGATTGGTCCACACCAGAGACGGCTTTCTTTTTAGAGCCTCGTCTCAAACAGCGTCGGGCCAGAGGACGCCAAAAGGCGAACAGCAAAAAGACAACGCCACTATCAGGACATTGAGAGCTCGTGGTGAGCAGCTACACCATGGGACCTCCCTTGCCAGTATCAAAATATAAAACTTATTCTTATATTTTGATACTGGCAAGGAAGGCGCCTGGATGAGACGAGTTGATTCTGTTCCACCAGGCGAGAAATGAAGTGGCCAGGAGAGACGCATCATTATTATTATTTACTAGCCTATAGCCCGTCCAAGGCCGGGTGTATTGCAGTAAATCTGAAACTTGCAAGTGAAAAGCAGACCAAGACGTGATATTCATTTCATTAATGCGTGTGCAGTTTGTAAGGGCGCGGTGACAGAGAGCTATTGCATTTAAAGGTTATAATCCCCTTGTTCATCACGACGTCCTTTTTACTTCGATGTCTCAACAGCGTGACAGAGATCACGTGATGACGTGAGGGTTCTGCCTTTGTAGTGAGGGTTGTAAGTTGACGCCGAGGAGCGGGGAGGAGGCGCCTCGCCCCCTCCCATGTGGAGTGACGTCACCCGCTCATGATTATTAATGAGGGGGCTGTTTGATGTGGAATGACGTCACCCGCTGATGATTATTAATGTGGAAGACGTAACCTGTTCATGATTAATGAGGGGGGCTGGTCGACGTGGAGTGACGTCACGCGTGTTACACACTGACATTCTTGGGTAACTATAGCAGACAATTTCTACGAGACTCCCACCGCTCTCTCTCTCAGATGCCCGTGGTGGCTCCTAACGACGGCAACCGCGTGACAGCCACCGCTAATTTGGGTGCCACGGTGGCTAGGAGATGTTAACTACCTCGCCTGGTATACAGGAGGTCGTGGGTTCGATCCCGACCCTGATGCCTACTGTATATTTGGAGTTTGCGTGTCTCTCTCTCTCTCCCCGTGGTCGCGTGGATTTTTCTCCGGGTCCTCTGGTTCTTCCCTCCCCGTTTAGAATCAACATCACACGTTTGGAGCATTTGGCTGCTATACATTTATACACGAGGATGAGCCACTTCGTTGAGCTATCATTTACGATGGCCAGGTTGCTTCTGAAAAAAAAGCTACATAGCTCAGTGGGCCTTACCTGGTAAAATAAAAAAAATATCCAGAATAGTTGTTTTTGGGTGAAATCGCATAACGACAATGTTTTAAACGCGTCACCACCCGACACAGCCAATTGGTAAGCTTTGTCCCGTAAATAAAACATGCCAACTAGTTACTAGTTGAGCACTACCGGTGTGTTGGAGAGTATAGCCACCACAACATTTACAATTCGAGCACCGTGACGTTTCACCGGTAATTACAACCGGCATCATCAGGCAACAGCCAGAGTTGTGGAGAAATCCTCCTGTTTCCGTCTTACATAGAGGGATAAAAGTGATGTCGTCATTTGCGAGCCAACCAAAATAAAAAGTTTCCTTTTATACGGAACGAGGAGCCCCCCCCCCCCCACCCACCCCACCCCCCCGCGCGCCCCCCCTGTCCACCCCCGCCCCCCGCGATTTATTTGCCACGACAAAGGGGAGCTCGGATAACTGAGGTGGTGAAATAAAGAAATACAAAAATATCTACGAATGTGTTTAATCACAGGTGTTGCTCGCTAACAGCGCTTGCCCCCACCAGTCTGTTGAGGCTATGCAGGGGGGCGGGATCTTTGTCTTTGTGTGTCGGGGGGAAGAGGAGGGGGGGAGTGTGGGGGGGAGGGGCAGGCAATGCCGACCTTGCAGATTTTGTAGAGGGAATCTTGCCCGTCTCCACCGCTGTCCTTGAAATATCCGTGCGCCGGGAAGGTTCGGTTGATGTCCCTCGTGATGGCGGAGTCCTGCGGAGACACCTGGGGCGCGGTGGGGGGTACGGGGGGAGGGAAGAGGTGGGGGGTGCAGGGGGAGGGAAGAGGTGGGGGGGCGGAGTGGGGGGGGGGGCAGGAGATACGGTGAGGGCCGAGCCGGCAAGGCGGACGGGGAGGAGGTTCATAGTGGCCGCGTCAGACACACGGTGGTGACGCATCACGCCTTTGCATTCTTTCGACTGGAATGGCCAATCCATAAGAGGGGTTTTTTTTTGGGTTCGATCACGTAAGTATATAAATGTTGCGTCGTTAAACCCACCACCACCTGACACAGCCAATTAGTAAGGTTTGTCACGTAAACAGAACGTGGCCAATCCGTTACTTAGGACAGCACACCAGCTCTGTGTTGGAGAGCAAAGCCACAACATTTTACAATCTGAGTACTTACTAATTGGCTGTGTCGGGTGGTGGCGGGTTTAACGACACAACATTTATATATTAACGCGATCAAACCCCCCAAACCCCCCAAACCCCCCGTCCCCACAACTAACAGACTACTTGCCCACTGGTACGCTGATGCGGCGTGTGACCTGTGCCACGCAGGGACGGCTGCCATCAGGTGGATGCTGCCCCCCTAGGCTCAATGACGTGTAGCCCGCATGGGCTTAACGTAAATGAACCGCAGGGATAATTGTGAATGAAAGAAATAATGACCATGGATTGGAGCCATAGAGTCACATGAGCGCACAGGGTAGAGGATTCGGGTGGACACTGTACAGGGGTGGAGCAGTGAGGTGGTGTGAATTGGGGATGATTGCTGTGCACCTGGTCACAATTACAGATGCACGAACGCTCCTCAGAAGAACAACTTTGAAATAAAGAGTTGCAGTTCCACAACCCTCTGGTGTCCCTTGGTGGTGGAGTCATCCAAAACTCAGAAGGAGGGCAGAACGCAACGCAGAGTGTCCACTCATCGCCTCCGGACACGTCTATATATTTTTATTTTTTAACTTATTAACCGGCCTGTCCCCTCGTAACCATCACGGGAGGAGAGGGATAGGGCGGGCCCGTTACAGACGCGAGGGCGATTTGAGATGCTGGCCCATTCAAGTGAGCGCCCTGCACACGCAACGCGCTGTGACCGCCGTTGACAAAGTGCGGCCGCGCTGAGTCTCGAGGCCGCTTCTCAGGAGGATCTTGCCGAGTTTTTCTTTTCGCAACAGAGGGCCGCGATGTTGCCGCTGGGTGATCGTCACAGGCACAGCATCGTCAGCGTTTGGCCAACACCGGTTGCATTGCAATGGGGTTTCTTTTTAGCTATGGGGAGGGGGGAAAAAGCAACCCATCGCTGAGCAGCGGGAGAACGTACAAACTCCTAAGACAAAGATCCCCCACCAGAATGTTGGGGCAAGTGTTGTCAGCGAGCACCTATGAAGGCCGGCACGGCACACGAGGGGGTGTCCAGCACCACGCACGGCCGCCTTTGTTTCCCTCGTGGCGATGTTTATTGCACACCGCACCTGACCCAGGACTGCGGTTGAAGGAATCGTCACTGACGTTGGCCGTGAGCGGGGAATCAAACTCGGGTCGCCGGATGCGAAGCACATCGCGCTAATCACTGCGCCGTTGTGTCGTCCACCCCCCCACACACTCGACACAGCCACGCACACTCACACACTCACCCTATCACAACTCACACTCACCATATCACAACTCACACACTCACCCTATCACACACACTCACCCTATCACAACTCACACTCACCCTATCACACACTCACCCTATCACAACTCACACTCACCCTATCACACACACTCACCCTATCACAACTCACACTCACCCTATCGCAACTCACACTCACCCTATCACACACACTCACCCTATCACAACTCACACTCACCCTATCACAACTCACACTCACCATATCACAACTCACACACTCAACCTATCACAACTCACACTCACCCTATCACAACTCACACACTCACCCTATCACAACTCACACACTCACCCTATCGCAACTCACACTCACCATATCACAACTCACACACTCACCCTATCACAACTCACACTCACCCTATCACAACTCACACACTCACCCTATCACAACTCACACACTCACCCTATCGCAACTCACACTCACCATATCACAACTCACACACTCACCCTATCACAACTCACACTCACCCTATCACAACTCACACTCACCCTATCACAACTCACACTCACCCTATCACAACTCACACACACCCTATCGCAACTCACACTCACCCTATCACACACACTCACCCTATCGCAACTCACACTCACCATATCACAACTCACACACTCACCCTATCACAACTCACACTCACCCTATCACACACACTCACCATATCACACACACTCACCCTATCACACACACTCACCCTATCACACACACTCACCCTATCACAACTCACACTCACCCCATCACACGCACTCACCCTATCACAACTCACACTCACCATATCACAACTCACACACACCATATCACAACCCACACTCACCCTATCACAACTCACACACACACACACACTAATCCTATCACAACCCACACTCACCCTATCACACACACTCACCCTATCACAACTCACACTCACCCTATCACACACACTCACCCTATCACAACTCACACATACCATATCACAACCCACACTCACCATATTACAACTCACACACACCATATCACAACCCACACTCACCCTATCACAACTCACACACACCATATCACAACGCACACACACACTCACCCTATCACACACACTCACCCTACCACAACTCACACACACACACTAATCCTATCACAACCCACACTCACCCTATCACAACTCACACACACACACTAATCCTTTCACAACTCACACACACACTAATTCTATCACAACCCACACTCACCCTATCACACACACTCACCATATCACAACTCACACACACACACACTAATCCTATCACAACCCACACTCACCATATCACAACTCACACACACACACTCACCCTATCACACACACTCACCCTACCACAACTCACACACACACACTCACCCTATCACAACCCACACTCACCCTATCACAACTCACACACACACACTAATCCTTTCACAACTCACACACACACTAATTCTATCACAACCCACACTCACCCTATCACACACACTCACCATATCACAACTCACACACACACACTAATCCTATCACAACCCACACTCACCATATCACAACTCACACACACACACTCACCCTATCACACACACTCACCCTACCACAACTCACACACACACACTCACCCTATCACAACCCACACTCACCCTATCACAACTCACACACACACACTAATCCTTTCACAACTCACACACACACTAATTCTATCACAACCCACACTCACCCTATCACACACACTCACCATATCACAACTCACACACACACACTAATCCTATCACAACCCACACTCACCATATCACAACTCACACACACACACTCACCCTATCACACACACTCACCCTACCACAACTCACACACACACACTCACCCTATCACAACTCACACTCACCATATCACAACTCACACACACACACTCACCCTATCACACACACTCACCCTATCACAACTCACACACACACACTAATCCTATCACAACGCACACTCACCCTACCACAACTCACACCCTATCACAACGCACACACACACACACACTCACCCTACCACAACTCACACCCTATCACAACGCACACACACACACACTCACCCTACCACAACTCACACCCTACCACAACTCACACTCTGCAGAACAGGGGGTGGAGGGGCAGAAAAGAACACGCTGACTCCACTCAGAAAGGCGCCCAAGGTCGGGGGTCTCGAGCCCGGCTGCCTGGTGCTGCGGGGCTCCAGCAGTCTCCCCCTCGGCTGTTACCCCGCCGCCCGCGAGTCCTACCCCACCCCTGCTCCACCACTGCTCCACCAGTCGCTTCCCAGCGCTGCCCGAGGAGAGGAGCGCGGCACGGGTCTCGTAGCAGCAGCGATCAGCTCCAACAATGACCTTGTTGCACGCCCACATTCTCCCCCACCAGACCCCCCCCCCCCATTCTCCCCCACCAGCCCCCCCCCCATTCTCCCCCACCAGCACCCCCCCCCATTCTCCCCCACCAGCCCCCCCATTCTCCCCCACCAGCCCCCCCCCATTCTCCCCCACCAGCCCCCCCCCCCATTCTCCCCCACCAGCCCCCCCCCATTCTCCCCCACCAGCCCCCCCCCCATTCTCCCCCACCAGCCCCCCCCCCAATTCTCCCCCCACCAGCCCCCCCCCCCCCCATTCTCCCCCACCAGCCCCCCCCCCCCGTGTCTACTCACGAGGGACCCCCTACGCAGCTGAGCGTTCACTTCAATTAGACCCCTACACACACACACCACACACACACAGACACCGCACACACACCACACACACACATCAAACACACACCACACACACACAGACACCGCACACACCACACACACACTGCAGACACCACACACACCACACACACACCAAACACACACCACACACACAGACACCGCACACACACCACACACATACAGACAGACACACACACACCACACACACACAGACACCACACATACACAGACACCACACACACACACAGACACCGCACACACAGACACCACACACACACACCACATACACAGACACCACACACACACCACACATACACCACACACACCACACACACACACAGACACCGCACACACCACACACACCACACATACACACACAGACACCACACACACACACAGACACCGCACACACCACACACACACACCGTACACACCACACATACACAGACACCACACACACAGACACCACACACACAGACACCACACATACACCACACACACCACACACACACGCACACAGACACCACACATACACAGACACCACAGACACCACACACACCACACACACAGACACCACACATACACAGACACCACACACACAGACACCACACATACACAGACACCACACACACACAGAC